GTTGTGGAAATACCGAAAAGGATCAGAATGGACTTGGGAACCAGAAGAAGAGATGACAAGCAACTACCCAGAATTATTTAGTTAGATTTCGAGGACGAAATCCTTGTAAGTGGGGGAGAGTTGTAACACCCTATTTTTACTATTTCCGTTGATTGTAATATTAAACAATTATTATGAAATACAAAGTAAAAATATGTTACTTTGAGCCAAAATAATATTTGTAAACATGTAGAAAACGTCAATATGAATTCCATAGATATATAGAACACTTAAATACGACTTCGTATAAAGAAGTTATGCTTCTACGAAACTTCACGATTAAACTGACACGACTCTGTGTATCATAAAAAAGTAAATTTTAGATAGGTTGCTTATTAGCCCAAGTAATCTAAACAAAAGTCGTAGTAGTCGTAAAACCCAGAGCAAGCATATAGAGAACGTCAAATTCTAACTTCGTATGAGGAGTTATGATTTTTCGACATTTCATTGCAGCAGTGTGGACACAGAAATCGAAAGCCAAATCAGTTGATTGTTAGCCGAAACAATCTAAACGAGAGTTGAAGATCTCATGATTAGGAGTCTGTCAATATAAAGACAGTCGAGAACGAATGTCATGTGCGAACGTTATTATTTTTATATGGACTTTAATTGTCTAAGTCTGTTAAAAATATAACTTTAAAAATAGAGTTAGAATTAGCCGACGGAGTCTAAACGAAAGTTATGGATATCGTCGATAGCTACGCGTGGATATAAAAATCGTCAAAAACAGAGCTCGTATGAAGAGATTATGGATTTTTGAAAATCTGTAGAAGCAAGCGAGGTGGACCACGGCGTAGGCGACACGTGTCAGGCCGAGAAATTGCCACGTCACCAGGAGCGGCACACTTTTTAAAATTCTATATATATGAGTGTTTTTTAGCCATTTCTTCTCGCCATTCAACATCGAAACCTCTGGAGTCACTTCCCGCACCCTAGCCCCTTTACTCCTTAGTTCCCAGCCACTTTAGCGAGGCCCTGTCACATCAGAAAGTGGGAGAAATATAAGCTATTGGTATCAAAGTTCTGCCAGTACAAAGCCCGGTTTTCGCTAGAACTCTCTGTAAGTTAAGATACGCTTACCATGCTTTTAAGTGTAACTTATATTTATATTCATATTCGGTATTATGAATGTGTAAGTAAGATTTATCAGTAATTCCAGTCATAATACTGATTGATCTACTTATGAGAGAGGTGTCTATAATAGTCACGTTGACTTGGTTGTTGGATTTTAGGAAAGCTATATGCCGAAGTGATCCTGCCTTCCAACTGTCTTGCCTGGCTAATCCTTATTTGATAGAACTATCGGTATTCGTTGGGATTAGTGATAGGTCTAGCCTACATTACAAGATTTCCCTAGAGACTGACAAGCTCTAGTATTATAGGTTAATACATTTTAGGCGCGTACTCGCCAATTGGAGGAAATAAATTATTTATTTATAAGATGACTTAGGGAAGCAAGTTATAGTTGCAGTTGCAGGTGAAGTGTTTGAGCAAATGCTAAGTTGAAATAGATTTGAAGGTTGATAAGAAGAGACTTTGTGGAAAAATTGGAGAGAGAGAGAGAGAGAGAGGTGGGATGGGTATGTGTTTATTTTTATTTAACATATATAAATACTTATAACACGGCTCTCCCATTTGAGTTATCTTAGCCCCAAGTCATGCTATTCAATAATCTTATAAATAAATATTTAACAAAAAAAAACTATTTTATATACTAATGAAACTTTTCAAAAAGGTAGTTTTTTAATTAATTAAAATAATAAAAGTTTAAATATAAATCTAAATCAAAGTTATATTTATTTATAAGATTATTGAATAGCATGACTTGGGCTAAGATAACTCAAATGGGAGAGCCGTGTTATGGGTGACCTTAGTGCACGCTTCAGAAAGCACTTTTATAAAATAAAAAAAAATAAAAAAGGAAAATTTTTCTTTAGCCTTATATTATTTGAAATTTTCAAGACTTTTCATCTTACTACTACAATTCAAAAGACTTTTGATAATTAATTGATTCATTGAAACTTAATGTTAATTATAATGATTATAATAGTTAATCTTTAAATATAAAACTTAACATTAAATGCTAAATTAACAAAAAATAGTATATCAAAAAATATTTTTATAATATTTTAAAATAATAATAATAATTTCTTTAATATTCAAATACAGGCACAATATGTTAGGAATATTTTGTTAGACATATTTAAGCGTGTCGGAGTTTCCACCAAGAAAAAAGCACCTGTGAATTTCTTGACTGATATGACCGAATGAATGTTAACTCTTAGACCGGTTGATGTTTTGATTTTTGGATGGGTCGGAGAGAAACACACATGTGTGGACCTTACAGGGGTATCCCCTCTTGTGGGTTGAGGGCTGGGGGTTTTACGGCGAGGCAAGCTGCTTTAAAAAGCTGTTACAGGCAAAGTCACCAAACATGAGAAATCATGCATAGAAAATCAATACGTGTTCATACCATTTGCATTTGATACGTTTGGTTTCTTCGCGCCGGAAGCGGTGAGAATTTTTAATATAGTACAACGGATCATGCATAGTGATGGTACATCCCCTAAATTTATGGATGTAGTCTTCAAAATAATTAATTTTATAATACAAAAAGCCTTAGCGGCGTAGCGTGTTGTATATTGGTCATTTTACTCTTTGTACGATGATAATTAAATTAATGAAAATGTCAGCTGTGAAAATATTGTTAAATATCAAAACTAAATCCAAATATCAAAATTCATACTCTAACTTACAAATAAATTCCATTTAATTGATATGATTACAAAAATTATGTTCCTAAATTGATTAATTCACTTTTATTGATGTGATTAATTAGTGACTTAAAAAATAATATAAATCAAAAGATAAATTCACTTTTATTTTTTTTATAACTTATAGCAACTATTAAAATCATTGTTTTTTATATATACAAATTTTTATCATATTATATAAAATAATTAAAATGTATCAAAATAAATTAATATAAACGATTATTAACTTATTTTAATACCATACGCATATCAACATTTTAATTATACTATTGTATTTTACATAATATAATTTAAATGAGTATAGTTTTAGAGGTGCGTAACATACAAAAATTTGTCTAGTTGTTATATAAGGTCATCCGTTATATCCACCAAATATCACATATGTGGTGGGTGTCATATCAACAACACAATCCCCTACCACTAACATGGTATACCTACCACTAACACTCCACTCCACATCATTATTTTTATTTTTTTTTTAATTCTAAAATGCAATAAATTACATTTTTAATAATTAAAAAACATTCATTTTTTTAACTAGTTTTTCATTAATTATAAAAATAAAATTACAACTTCAAACTACATTACTTAATTAATCTAGAAATAAAAAAACATTACATTAATTAAAAAAAACAAACAAACACACATATAAAAAAACTAATCTTCGTTCATGTTACGTTGGTACAAATGTTCCGCGACATCTTCTCGGAAATTGAAACACGTTTCACTGTTATGAATTTCAACAACTCGCTCTAAAAACTCATTCGTTCCGGGTACGAACTCCTCAATTGGAATGACAACGTCGTTCGGATCATACGTGCAAATCGCTCGACCTTCATCTTCAATAATCATATTATGCATTAATGTCGTTGTTAGACCCTGCTACTCCGAAAAAGGCATGTTATATCCACAAATCTTGATATGCAACAACTTCTAGGATGATATTTGGTTCACCTATATCTCCTCGAGTGAACTGACCACGCCATGCATTTGGACATTTTTCCTAAGCCACATGCGTACAATCTAGACTGCCAAGTATACCCAAAAAATCCATGTCTCTCTTCATGAGCCGAATATAATCTCTCAATATTACGTTGAGTAGGTTTGCGCAAATATTGTTCGTGAAAAACCTCATACACGCGCGCAGAAACCAATCTACACATTCAACTGCGGTGCTCTCGGATACTTTCAAGTATTCGTCAGATGCATCAAATGTTATACCGTATCCCAAATACCTAAGAGCAGCCGCACATTTTTGTATACTACTAAAACACATTCTTCCTCTAGCATCGGATTTTTGTTTGAAAAAATCATAACGAGATTCTAAATCATTACTAATACGTAAAAATATAGCCTTATTCAGACGGAAACGACGTTCGAACGAGTCGTCATTATAAAGACAATTATCGGCAAAATAATCATGTACCAATAAGTCGTGTGCGGCTTGGCGATCACGATTGACGACCGCCCTTGTACGAGCAACATTCGAACTTTCTTCGTCGTGAATGTGCTGCACAACGTTGAAGAATGTATCGACGAATTCTACGTCGTCATCCGAATCAAAAGTTTTTAAGAATTTCATGTGTTTTGTGGAATCCATGTGCATGTGTTTTGTGGTTTTAGAGAATGAAGGTGTAAGTTTTGGTGAAAATAGAAGGTTTTATTTAGATGTATTGAATTGAGTTTGAAAAAAAAAAGGCCAAATGACCGTTCAACGGTCAAGAAAGCAATCACCAATTAAGTTTTGCGTTTAGAATCGTCGTCGACAACACGATTTGTCGGGGTGGTGTGCACAAATTTTTCTCGGGGCCACATGGACCACGGATCCTCTCGTTGAGAGTATACCGTATGGTCTAAGGAGACATATTTCAAACGTATGAACCGACTCGATGGTTAAGCATAGATCCAATTTCCAGTATGTATCATTAAAATATGAACAGGTTATAAATTTATGAACCATAAAAGTGGTGGATAGCAGATGCTCTTTAGCATTTCAATATTAAACTCTCATACAAATTAATACAAATTAATGTAACATTTACCACGTGGCATAATCGTCACAGTGGGCCCACTCAAGAATCTATATATCATAAAGTCACTCCAGTAGTACTCCACCTCCAAATATCTCATACAACCTCCACACTCCGCAGTCATCTCCGCCTCCGATCACCGAACAGAAGGCTACAAATGAATACCGGAGAATATGGCTACCCAAAATTTAACTTCAAGCAGCAAGCACACCCAGTTTCCATTCCGCCGCCACAACCATTCATAAAATCATTGAAGAACACCGTGAAAGAAACACTTTTTCCCGATGACCCACTGCGGCAATTCAAAGATCAGCCACCGTCACGCAAAATTATTCTCGGAATTCAGTATATCTTCCCAATTTTCGACTGGGGATCTCGTTATAATTTAAGTTTCTTTAAATCCGACATAATCGCCGGTATCACCATTGCAAGTTTATCAATCCCTCAGGGAATCAGCTACGCTAAGCTAGCGAACCTCCCGCCGATATTTGGCCTGTGTAAGCCCTTTAAACTTCTCCGATGTTATTCGTAATCGTGAGTTTAATTTCGATATCAGCAAACTTAAGGGCAATAAATGGTGTTTAATATTTGGTTGAATTTTGCAGATTCAAGCTTCGTTCCGCCGTTAGTATATGCGATGATGGGAAGTTCTAAAGATGTAGCGGTGGGGACGTTCGCAGTGGCGTCGTTGCTAATAGGTTCGATGTTAGGTGCGGTGGTGAACGCCAATGAAAACCCAAAGTTGCATCTTCAGTTAGCCTTAACGGCGACGTTCGTCGCCGGAGTTCTTCAAGCTTCACTGGGAATCTTTAGGTTAATTAATTTACAGAACTTTAAACACATATTGATCAATCATAATCCCTCTCAAACCCCATATTTAATATCCATAATCGAATCCATGCAGGCTTGGGTTTATCGTTGATTTCTTGTCACACTCTACGATCATAGGGTTTATGGCCGGATCTGCGATTGTAGTGAGTTTACAGCAGCTGAAAGGAATATTGGGTCTCCAACACTTCACTCAAAGCACCGATCTTATCTCCGTGTTACGTTCTGTCTTCACCCAAACCCACAAGGTTCCTGAATATATTTTTTTCTTGAAATATATATTGATTTGTTCTCCATTTATTAATAAATAATTTGAGAAATATAATTATATATTAAAATATAGTAGAGTATATGTTAAATAATTCAATTACTAATACTAACTATAAAAAATTAGTTATATATTAATTTAATTTAAAGTTTTGATTTTAAACATTATGATTATATTGAAATCATACATAAAAAACACCTATTAATAAAGTATAAGTTGAAAAGTTCTAACTTCTAATAATTATAATGTTTGAATGCAATTTATAAAATAAAATTCAAATTAATATGGTATAAGATAAATATTTCTTTTGAATCACATAATCTCACTAAACTCCAGAGGGTTGCAATTTGCAATTTTTTTAGAACAACTAATTCAAATACTCCATACTCCAATTGTAAATGTATCGTTTATTCTAAATTTACATATTTCGTCCCAATCGGGATTTAAGTCCTCGACCTTCGATTTGATTGACATATTTCCATCAATTTTTGATACAGCGTCACGGCATGCTCCTTGGTAGAGGATTTCAAGTGAATAAAACTGTGTATTGTTATAAATTAATTTGAAAATACTACTATTTTTCTCTTTTTTCAATTTCGACTGATATTTTTTATATCTATCACTATTTTTTTTTTCAAGGTAACACAATTTTTAATATTATGTAATTTTTAATAAATGAAACTTTGATTTAATATTACTTTTTAGCAATTGTTGTTAGTTAATTTAAAAACTACTCATTTGGATATTTTTAGTTATTTAAAAGACAGGTTATAAGTTACCGAAATTTTGTATAATTTTCAATTTATAAGTTACTAAAGTTTTATGTAATTTTCAACTGAATTATTGGTATACAAATTAATTTAAAACTACTTGGTCGTTGTTTACCTTTCGTTCAATACTTCAGTGTATGAATTGACCAAATTTTTCAATGTAACTAAAAAGACGTATCTTAATTAATGTTATTGTTATAACCTTCTATCTTGCAACCAAATATACTTAAATTCGTTAATTTTTAATATGGTCTTAAATATAAAAACTTAAAAAACTTCAACTAAACTAAAATCTGTTCAAAAACTATTTGTAAGATGTACAGATCTAGATTTAATAATTCTAATATATTTTACATGTTATTAATTAATAAATTAATTCTTTTTAACCGTAGTGGAGGTGGGAGTGTGCAGTTTTGGGTATTTGCATCCTCTTGTGTCTCTTGATTGCTAGATTTGTTGTAAGTATTTTCTTTCTCATTTAAAATTTTGTTGATTTATATATATACACACACTACACGAATTAAAAGATAGATATATAGGGATTACTAATTTGAAAAGTGATATAAACAGAGCACAAGACGACCAAAGCTATTTTGGATATCGGCAATGGCTCCTTTGACGTCAGTCATCTTGAGCAGCGTTTTTGTTTATCTCACACATGCCCACAAACACGGAGTTCAAGTGGTTAGTTTAGTTTCATTTGCGGTTTTTATCTTTGATTGATATATAACGAAATTAAAAGTACACTAATTAGTTTTTACTTATTTATTTATTTTTGTGTATGTGTATGTGTGTGTGTAAATATATACAGATTGGGGAATTAAAGAAAGGACTGAACCCCATTACAATCAAGGAGTTGTCTTTTGGGTCTGAATATCTGTTTACAGCAATCAAAACTGGCACCGTCACCGGCGTTATTGCCCTTGCTGTAAGTTCCTTGTCTTGTCTTTTATGCTCTACCACTTGTACCTTGCCTTCATTATTTTCTTTCTACTTAAATCCATTTCCATTTTTTCACAAAATATGTTTGAATAACAGGATCAAAATTTGGGTAACAAAATATTACATAAGTTGATAAGAAGTATTATAGTTAGGGGTAATAATGTATTTGAATTCCATTTCCTTTTCATCCCAAACCCAAAAAGAGTACTGTCTCAGCCACAGAAGTAGTATTTCATCAAAATTTGAATAACAAAAAATCCATATTTTCAAAAAATAATAAATATAGTATCATTCATCTTACACTCATATCATTCTAGCATTTCTGTCACTAGGGGTAATAATGTAATTTTAACAGGAAGGAATTGCCGTGGGGAGAAGCTTTGCGATGCTCAAGAATTACAACATTGATGGCAACAAAGAGATGATTGCCTTTGGCATGATGAACATTGCTGGTTCATGCACTTCTTGCTACGTCACTACTGGTGAGTAAAATTACCATTATACCATTTCCAATATTTTTGAACTTATGATCCACAATATGTATTTTTACACAATGTTTTCCTTTTAAAAAAATGTAGGCCCTTTTTCGCGTTCGGCTGTGAACTTAAATGCGGGATGCAAAACTGCAATGTCAAACATAGTGATGGCAATCACGGTCATGATCACATTGTTGTTCCTGACACCATTATTTTATTACACCCCGATTGTCGTACTGTCTTCAATCATCGTTTCTGCAATGCTTGGTCTTATTAACTACAAAGAGGCTATTCACCTATGGAGTCTCGACAAATTTGACTTTGTTGTGTGTATGAGCGCGTTTTTAGGAGTGGTATTTTGGAGCGTCGAAATCGGATTAGTCATTGCGGTATAAGTTTTAATTACACGCGTTTTAATTCAGTCTGTTGTGATTTCAGTATTATAATTTAGTATATGCGGGATAATTATAGGTTGCATTATCGTTGCTTAGAATACTCCTATTTGTCGCGAGGCCAAAAACGTATGCACTAGGTCACATACCCGATTCCTCAATCTATAGAAGCATTGATCAATACCAAAATGCGAAAACCATCCCCGGAATCTTGATACTTCAAATTGATGCACCTATTTACTTTGCTAATGTCGCCTACTTGCGAGAAAGGTGTAGTTATTCGATTCATTCACTTAAAAATATAAAAAATGTCTCCATGAATGATTTCTTAATTCGATTTTTCGTTATTTGTCAGGATTTTACGGTGGGTTGACGAGGAGGAAGACAAATTAAAGTCCCTAGGGGGAAATAGCTTGCAATACGTTGTACTTGCATTGAGTGGTAAGTGATCAATGATCGAATCATAAATTATTATTTTTGTGTACTTAAGAAAAAACTAAAAGAAAAAGATAGGAAATTAACATGGAGGTCATTGCAGCGGTCGGAAACATCGATACGAGTGGTATTACAATGCTTGGAGAGGTTAAAAAATTGATGGAAAGAAGAGGACTAAAGGTACTCATCACATTTTTGTATTTTTCTTAATCATGAGCAATGTATGACTGAATTTTGATGTGTTACCTATATTACTCGTTTGCAGTTGATTTTGGCAAATCCAGGAGGAGAAGTGATAAAGAAGATGAATAAAGCCAAGTTAATAGATGTGGTCGGGGAAGAATGGATATATTTAACGTTGGGAGAAGCCGTTGGAGCGTGCAACTTCATGCTTCGTTAATCCAGGAATTTTCTTTGTAAGAGGCACTAGCGATCAACTACATGATCGAGTCGGGTCAAAATAGTTATAAAATTAATTCTGGTCAAATTAGTCTTAGTTTTTTGTTCCAATTTATAGGAATAAAATACACAAAATAATATACAAGTAAACTTCAAACTGATTGCGTGAAAGAATATATGTTAGCTGTTGGTTGTTGGCGGTTGGGGCTCTATCTATTTTAATAAATGAAAATTATTTTGCTATATGTCAAACTCGGTTATTTTCAATTAAATTTTTTTCAAATGACATTTTGTGATTTTTTCAATTTTATTAAATTCTACATAATATTTAAATGTAATAATTGCGATAAATGTAATAATAAATGTATATCAATTTCAATAATTGACTTTCTTTCTAATTTTAACATTTTTAAATTAAAACTTCATTATTTTCCTTTGTTTATTTATCTAAATTATTTGTTTAAATTAAAAAAAACATTTTAATTTCATGCTCTTAGTAACTTTGACAAAATACACAAACCCCAACAAAATGTTTTTCGCCGGATAGAAACGTGCAAGAAAACGTACTCTAATTACAATGTTATGATATGGAATTAACAGCAATATTTTAAGCTACCACTATCAGATTATACCTGAAAAAAACTGACACGATATGACAACCCGACACAAAATTAACAGGTTTGGGTAAAAGATTCTAACACGTTTAAGTAAAGGGTTTGTTTAGGGTCAAGACTTTCAACTCAAAAATAACTCGAATATGACTAGTTTAATTGTATATCACTTTTTTTTTTATCAATCTCATATTTTTATAAATACATTATACATTATAGATTTGTAGGGGGGATAAACTCAAAAACTAAAATTAAAATTCAAACTTTCAAAAGTTTTGATATAATAGTTTTCATAATTCATAATTTTGAAATTAAGTTATTGTCATTTTATAAGTTGCTCTTATTGTATTTTAAGACTGTATTTTTTGTCCCTTGTATAATTTTTCTTAATAGTTTTTGTTTTTTATGAATTTTTATGAAATACACTTTCAAATTTTATTTTCGTCCGCTTCTTTCATACGTAATTGTTTTGATCAAAACTTTATTTTGATTCTTTTTTTTGTTTACTTGATATGATATAATCGTTATCGTGCTATATGTGGACCGTTGATATTTTTAAATCACATTCTATATATGAATTGCAAATGAGCTAGCCCACACATTAAAGTTACACTTTTGGTTTGTTACATAATTTTTTTTATAGTTTTCGTTTTATTAATTGCAAACGGGTTTTCCGCCGCAACACGTGTAATGACCTAAGGGCATCTTCAACGCAACACTAAAATCTACATTAAATCCCTTTGACACTAACATCTACACTATAATGCTTCAACCCTACACTAAACATTATATATAGTATTGGTGAATAGTGATGCTATTTCATCAACACTATATTTAGTGTTAAAGTTAAATATAGTGTTAAAGTTTCATAATACATATTAGTCATGAAATTTGAATTTACATACTTTTAGTTTATTCCTTATATAATTATAATTAATATTTTTACCTATGTTATTATATAAAATAATTGAAAATGCAATACAAGATTTATACAAAACACATAATGATATATATTTTAATCCTAGTAGTATAAAAAATACAAATGATTACATTTATCAATTTATATAATATAATCAATGATAAATATAAGGGTTGTTTTTGTAAAATTATAAAAATTAGAATATTAGATAGATAGAAATATACATAGAATATTCTTTTTAATGTTAATTATAGTGTAATAGGTTGGAGAGGTTTGAAGTTAACACCAAGTGTAATTCAAGTTGATTTGAGACCCATGACAAAATAATAATAATAATAATAATGTCCTTTTTTTCGCTGTCTGTGATGATTTAATACCAAAAAAAAAAATCCAAAATATATAAGTAGATACATGGAAAATGGACTCTATAAATTTAGAGGCCCTAGGTCATCGTCCATGGTGCCCCACCCTCTCATACGACTTTGGTTAACACTATTTTTTACATTATAACTATAACTTTTAGTATAAAAGATAGTGTTATGGGTTGGATACCGTAAAAAACGGTAAATACTATTTCCAATCAATCAATGTACGATGTATTGATTAGTATAATGTATTAATTAGTATAGTATCATTTATCGTTAAAGTAAATTTAAGATGTATGTTTACACAAAATGAAGATTACAATCAGAAAACATATTCGTATTTCATTACTAACTTATTTTTATCGATAAATAGTGTTATGAAAAAAATGAAACTTTAAATATTAATGGCTATTTACACAAATAAATACAATACTATTTTTGATAAAAGAAAAAAGCTTATAATATAATGTTTTTCTATAGTTTATACTAATAAAAATTAATGAAAATAGGAAATGACAATAAAATAATAAATTGACTAAGGTGTTGTTTGTTTTTTTGTCTCTAGATATTTTTGGACTCTTCTTATGTGCCGTGCAGATATTAACTTTCGTATACTGTTTGTTTTTTTGAAGACTGCAAACCTAAAAATGTATGTGCGCCCTCTTCTTGGTGTAGATGTGGACCAAAGTCTTCTAACATCTTCAGACATCTTCTAGCCTAAAAAACACATATATCTTTATGTTTTTTAGTTTTTTTTTTAATTTATATTTATTGCAACTTTATTAATGATAAACAATTTGAAAAAAAAAAGTTACAATATTTAAAAGAAAAGGTTCGACGACACAAACATGACTTTTTTTATATATTTATAAATAAAGATTTATTAAAATAATCGTCGTCGAAGTTGTTTATAAAAATGTGAAAAAAAAATCATAATATATTCTTATTTTTTGTGCCAAAATTTATAAAACATTATTAAATACAGTATTGTCAATTTCCAGGGAAAATATTCATGGTACGTTTTTAATTGATTTGATTGGAAAAATCAAACTTTATTTCCATCCATTTATATATCAAATTATTTGATTTCTAATTACAATGTTTATGTATAACTTTGCGACCAAAATTGTTTGTTTTTATCAAATATATATGTTAATTCGTATTATTTTATTTTCACTTTTTATATAATAATACATAAAAGTTGATCTAAATTTATTAATTATTTACAAAGTCATAAAAATATTAAAAAATCAATTTGAAGTTTAAAAAATTAGTTTATTTAGATTTTAGTTTATTTTAGCAGATTGCAGATGTTAAAAAAAATAGTCTTCTTTTTTCAGACTGCAAGCATTTGGTCCACCTCTTTTACTGCCAAGGTCTATAGATGTGGTTCGCAAACTGTAGACATTTTGCTCTAGAAAAAACAAACAACACCTGAAACTCAACATATTTAATTTGATATATCAAATTGAAACAAAAAACAAATCGAAACCTAAGGTTAATTTATATATATATATATATATATAATATATATATATATATATATATATAAACTAATAACCACAGCAAATACAATAACAAAAATAACCATTGACACTGTTTTTGTAATTTACTTTTTTAATAAATAAATTCAAAGTTTATTGGATCTCTTTTTTTTTCTATTATTACTATTATAACCTAAAAAATAAATATTATTATTTTGTTTAATAATTTATACTTGTCAAAATCGCGATCATGATCGTAGGATCGTACGATCCTACGATCCTAATTAGGCAAATTGATCCCGATCTTACTAGAATCGTTTTTCGGTAAGATCGTAGGATCAGAGCGTAAGATCGTAAAATCTATCGTAAGATCGTATGATCGTGACTGTTTTTAAAACAAATTTTTTATATATTTTCATGGACTAACAACGTAGAATACCAATTTTGAATTGTTTATCACTAAATAATGTATTGGAAATGTATTTTTTATGTTTTAAACAATTTATTGTTAACCGAATGGTTAAAAGATGGGTGAAAATATATTTATTATGTATTAAAATGTTTTCGGTATGATCTTACGATCACGATCTTGCAAAGCGAAAAACAATCATAAGATCCCGATCTTAAAAACCTTGATTTGAAACATCCCAAAAATACAACCCAAAAATTTTTCGTTTGAAAACTTAACTAAACCATAATATTAAATATTAAAAGATAAATCCTTGGATCATACGTCTCAAAATGTCATAATGAGTTAATCAAATCAACTGATGTCAAAACATATCAAAATGTCTAAATAAAACTCCCAGGATAACTGAAGTTGTGGTGCGTGTCATGCCATCATCCCGAGCTCTTCCCCTTACTAGCGGAAGTACCTGAAATCAAAAACTGAAACTGTAAGCACAAAGCTTAGTGAGCTCCCCCAAACTACCACATACCATACAATAGCATATAAAGCAACTACTGGGCCTTGCCCACTGCATCGGACCGAGGTCCGGAAACTGCATCGGACCGAAGTCTGGAACTAACCAGGGCCTTGCCCTCTGCATCGGACAGAAGTCCGGAAACTGCATCGGACCGAAGTCCGGAACTAACCAGGGCCTTGCCCTCTGCATCGGACCGAAGTCCGGAAACTGACTGAACATAGCATAGCATAATCATAACTACTAGCATAAACACATGTTGGGAGTGTGTCCAAGATCATTAACTAGTTGGTGATGTTTCGAATAATAGCAGGGTCCTCTTGGGTTGCCCTCAAGACTCAAGATTGAGTAGAATATATAATAGGAGTAATTAGTTTATTAATTATTATGGTTTAATAATTAATTAGAAACTAATTGGAAAACAATTTGGGAATTAATTAACAGTTTAATTAATAGAAGGGTTGAATGTGAATTAACCAATAGTTGATTGATCATGGAACATCCCAGAACCCTAGAATGAAGGGGGTTGGACGAAAATTCCCTTTGGATAAAGGGAATTTCGTTCCTAGCATATTCCATCCCACATGGGTGGAAGGATAAAACCCTAGGAAGTATCCAAGGCTATAAATAGGGGCTTAGGGATTCATTCCTCCTTGCTCATTTTTGGCTTGAGTATTCGCCACCTTCTTTCTCCCTCAT